AAGATTAAGTAAAAGCAATAAGGCTGATTAAAGAAATTTGTAACCAGAAGTAATAAAGTCAATTTAAAGAAGTATTAGAATTAATGAGCAATAATTTGTGTAACTACTACTTTTATAAATTTTAAATAAAGTTATAATTCCCCTACACTGAAAATGTATTGCTGACAGGTATTTACTTTTGCTCACATACATAGCTATTCTGATTCAGTTCTGCTCTCTATTTGCAAAAATTGTTTTGCCTGCCACAAGCCTTTCATTTCCATGCACCCCTCGATTCAAATGGTTTAACTGATTCTTGCATGCAAATTATCATGCGACAAAACTCCACTAACAGTAGTGCCACACACACACACATGACTCATGTGACTCCCTCTTTGCTATTGCACCTAACTATCACTTTGAGGTTAGGCAAAAACGTAAGCACCAGTTGATAGAAGGGAGGATGGGTGGGAAGTGTGAGCAAAAGTAAGTTCTTGTTGAAAATACATTTTCAGTATTGGAAAACTATAACTTCCCACAAGGTACCTTACTTCTGCTCACATACATAGTTAGAATCCCACACTGAATAGGTGGCAGGGCTGGTGTGAGGGAGAAAGTACAAGTATCCTCCAAAAGCATCCGAAGAACACCCTAACAAAGGGGCCTTCTAATAATAGGATTATACGTGGGAGACCACACCACTTCTATACCAGGTATATTCTTCACCAAGCTTTGGAAAAGGTGTGACAAATCTGGGTGGAAAATTGAGAGGAGCACATCCCAATAGGAGAGAAAATGGTTTGACAGTGATCCTAACCACAATATATTATAATTTCAATCTCCCTGAAGAACAGAATGTGCATAAAATAAGGGATGTGCCCCAAAATGTAAAGTAGCTAGGGTGCAATGGATCGTACATGGCAAGTTAACTGCATCCAAAACTTGATTGCTGGGAACTGACATCCATGCGAGGGTAGGAAAGAAGATCATGCTGTCTTCACCTCAAGTTCAACCAATCGGAGGGAAAAATTCCACCACTAATTTGTGAACAGGACACACGTGAGAAGAGTGAAATAACATATATATCTATCCCACTCAAATCAAACAAACCAGAACCACCTCAAATGCAGTAACATCCTCAGCATAAAGACATCAAGGGGACATGCAAGAGGAAGAAGCGGAGTATCCAACAAGTGCACCCACCATGACCCACAATACTGAGGTAATACACTCAAAGTGAATTGAGTGAGGGACGAGGAACACCCTGAACACGTGTGAGGCCTTATGTTGATTGGTTCATCTCTAAATCCAAAACTCAATCACTGTGAACCGACATCCAAGTGGGGGTAGGATGTGGGACCCAATCAAATGGTGAACTGCATTTATGCCATCACACTAAATGTGTGAGTATATAATGTTGATTAGTTCAGCTCTAAATCCAAAACTCAACCACTGGTAACCAACATCCATTTGGGTGTAGGATGAGGGATCCCAATCGCACGACATGTGTGTAGATATATGGTGATTGGTTCAGTTCTAAATCCAAAACTCAAACTCTGAGAACCAACATCCATGCACAATCATTATGATGTGCACTCCAAAGCTACAACATCCCTATCTCTTGTTTATGTGATTGTAATGAACAGTGTGCATTTTGTGGCCATGGAAATTATTAAAGTGATGTCATTATGGCTATACAGTGTGGGTATTAGTACAATTCTAAGTGACTGAAGTATACCTGGACAGATACTATTCATCACAGGTTAAACATGGGACAGGCCCCTGAAAAATAATATATACTAGAAAACAAAGAAAACTTACTCAGTTACAGTCTCACATAAGAGTGAAGAAGGGTGACAGGTGGAAGATGGAGAATTATATCAAGTGTGTGGGTTCAAAAAGGGAGATCCAATGTCTACCACAAAGGGAACAAGAATGATCACCCCCTTGGTAAGTGATATAAGCTACCTCAATCAAATAGTGAACTAAGGCACGTTGGACTGCAGGAAGTGCCAGGGTGTTAACATGGAATACCTTTCATCTGCAGACCATTGACCTCAAGCCTCCTGTTGATAGACCCACACACCCCAACTTTGGAGATAAGCATCTAGAAAGAGAAACAAATCTGAATGAGGGGAATGAATCGAACTGGTAAATCCAAAAATGTGGTGGATATGTTCAACCCCTAATGCATATAGTTGAAGAGGGAAGGATGAAAGTTCAAACGAGAATCCAAAGGAACCCTAGCAAGAGATCATAGGTTGTGCAGCGTCTCCTGAAAGGATTGCAAATGTGCCAGACCCAAAGTGTTTCCACAGAAGCAACATCCCCCAATGCATTAAAACCTCACTAGCTAGTTAACCATAATTGCATGGATAATAGAAAGCTCCACTGAATGCATTTGAGGAGGAGATTGGATAGTCCTGACAGAGGTGGGTGTTTAAAAAGACACTCCTCAAATAGCTAAGATTGTTAGGTAGGTAACAGGAAAAACACATCCAACTGGAAAATCCAGCCACCCAAGCTGCTTGTGTAAGAAGCAGATGAGTATGTTATGGCCACCCCCATTTGGAAAGAGCTAACTGAAGCCAGACATCCAAGTAGAGATTATAGTAAAATCCCCCAAAATGTGGAAGTTAGGTAACATACAAACCACTGGACAAAAGACATATGAAACCAAAACAAGTCCAAAGGACAAGGCATAAAAACTGGTACCGAATCATATGGTGAAAAAAACCTAAGATAGCATCCTGAGAAATGAAAAATATGAACATGAAATTAATTATAGGAAGTATAAATTATTAAGAATTACAAAAATGAAATAGTCGATATAATGCAAATTTAAGTGTGTAGTGAAATAAGCATATGTATAAGATGTTATGTGTTGAAGAAAAGAAGATATTTAACTTAATTATCGATTTACCTGTACAACAAACTACAGGTAAACCAAAAATAATGGACACTTCTTAAGCTTAATCGAACTGTGCAGGACAAAGTATATCACTAAGTTCTAATTTAAAAACTCTAATCTAACAATAATACATACAATATCAGGAGAAGTTTGTGCAGATCCCAGCTACAGGGTTCCACATAGACAAATTTAATAGGAAGAAGTATAAAATATATATAATAATGAAAATTAAATAAACGTTATATTGTAAAATTAAGTAAGTATGTATTGAAAATAACACATGTATGAGATGTGATGTTTTGAAGAAAAAACAATATAGTTAACCTAATTTATGATATACCAGTAAGATGAACTATGAGTATTGACCAAACTAACTAAACTGATGTTGTTGAACCCATGAAACTACAGATAATAATATTAACAGTAAAAATATTCAAAAACCATAATAGTATAATGCCTTATCTTTCTAAAGTCAGTAAACCGTATTTCAAAATGTGTGGGCCCCCAAACTCGATTCGAGGGCCCAGCAAAGGTCAGCTCATAGGACAATCAATCTCCCTACAAAGTAAAGCTGATAATTCCCTAATCAAGGACTGCCACCTGAAGCCTGTGATAGAAGATATAACCTCTGAAGTGGTAACTTAGAATTTGTAATTCATATTCAAATTGTAGTGAAGTAATAAGTTCCATAACTGGGTAGAAATATAAAATAATTCCATTTCTGAATAAGTTACAAATATCGCTATTGTATAATAAATAGTAAACATGGTGAGAGAAATTGATACAAAGATACAAAACAAACACTTGAAGAGAGCACTGTCAAACAAGAAGTGGTAGTTAGGTAGAATAGCATAAGAGTCACATGAGTCAGGTGGGTGGGTGGTGCTACTATTGGTGGTGGTTTGTCGCATAATAATTTTAATGCTAGCACCAGTTAAACCATGTAAATCAAAGTGTGTGTGGGAGTAAAAGGGTTGTGGCATGTGAAAAAATTTTTGCAAATAGAGGGCAACACTAAACAAGAATAGCTATGTGTGTGAGCAAAAGTAAGGTACCTTGTTAGAATATTTTTTTCATTCTGTGAATTCTGATTTTGTCTCCATGACTCTAATGTAAACTTCCTCAAGTTGGTGATATGTGTAAATTGAAATCAACCGATATTCTAGGTAATCTGAATAAATACTATTTCTAAAGGGTTTAGAACACAACTATAAAAAGCCATAAGATAATGCATATCAACAGAAACATGGAAAGATGTAGATTTATTAAAGTTAGTCCACTTATAATGCTTAATAACTACAGTAATCAAGACTTCTAGACCTATCATCATGTTGTGAGCTTTATTACCTCATGCAAAGGCAGTCTTATCTCACAATCTCAATCTAGTAGTGTAATCATTTGAATATATTCATAGGACTGTTAAGAAATTGAAGTAATTGATGAATTGTTAAGTGTGATTGAAATAGTAATGAGTATATTGGAAAAATTGTAGAAGAAATACCTGAATTGCTGAAAAATGATGTATAGATATTATGTGTATGAATGTGATATGTGTTATGAATAAATATATGTTTTATATTTTTTCAACTCGCTGGTTATTATCTTTATTCTTTACGTAAACTTCCTCAAGTTAGCAGCTTGTATGCTTTACCCATGACTGCATAAAAATACCATAGAAATAAAGAAATTTATACGTAATGAGAGTAAGTCAAACCAACCCCATCTGATGCAATCACAAATTACAATTATTTTTCTATTCCTTCTCCTGTACTTACTACTTATTAACTGCAAATTAATTTACTAAATACAAAATGAATCAAACACCAGGAAATACATTATCTCAGACTTACTTTCCTAGCAAAATTAAAATATGGGTCAATCTAGAAGACTGAAATTAAATTTAATTGTCAAATTATATGATTACTTTTTCAAATAAATTGAAAATGATTTCTATAGTGAGTTGCAAAATGTAAAGTGTATTTTTAAGCAACAAGTAAATAACACAAATTATGATAGGAATTGTAAAGCCTAATCTACTTGGTACCTTCCTTGAAGTAAAGTGTAATAATATGTTCTCTTGTTTCAAGTATTTTTAACAGAAAACATTTACCATCATTATAATCAGAGTAGCCACATAGCTTCCTTTCTTCATAAGTCGAAACAAACAAATTAAGGACAAGAAAAATTGTTGCTTCCTCCCATCACCTGAAGTAACTTCATCACCTACATTGCTGCCATCCATGATATCGCCATCAGTGGAAAAAATAATGCTGCCATTTAGGTCAATGGCCAGGCTGTCTTTAGGCTGAGATGGATCCATGGAAAAAGTGTGTCCTTCTTCATCATCTTCTAACAGCTGAGAAACAATGAGATTCATCAAAACACAGGTCTTTAACAGAACAGCAACTACAAGTACCTAACATAAGTTAAAATATTTACTTAAGTTATAATCTTGCAGCCCATGTTTAACATAGATAAATAATACTATTTGCATGACCTAAGAGTGTTCTCTTCTTTGAGATTCATAACAAGCCAAATTGTAGTTTGTTCTTAATAGGACAGCAATTACCTGTATCTCCAATTAAGTTTTTTGCTTGATTATAAAGCACCTGCTCATGTTTATCACAGGGAAAAGAATGCCACTTGCATTGCAAACAGGATAAATATATGATACATATAAAATGTAAGAGATTAGTAGTATCACAAAAACACTATTCACCTCTACAATAGCAAGACTAACATAAAAACCAGAACAAGTGCTAGTGTCTCAACAGATAGGGAAGACGTTGGAAAGATAAGCTGTTATACTGTCATAGACTTTTGAATATTATTTAATATCAATATCATCATAAATAAAAATAGTAGGGTTAAAATTATAAATAAGAGCTTAGTGGTATGATCTGTACTACAACATTAGACTAGGCTTAAAATGTATAACTGTACTTTCAGTTTTAGCTGTAATTCATCTTACTGATAAATCATAAAACATGTTAAATACATTGTTTTATTAAAGAAATACAATCAGCCTAGTTACTTGTCTCTTTGTGTTTTAAGTATTATATTGTTTAAATTAGTTTAGTTTAGATCCATTAGTTTAAATTCAGTTTATAGCAATATAGGTAGGTTATAAATCAGACTAAATACATTGTATTATTGCTATTAATTTTATGTAAATATAAAATAAAGTAAAAACTAGTTATCTGTCACTGATAAAAATTAAAGACAAACTTAATTAATCTAGTGTGAGCATAAAGTAGTGATAAACTAATATACTTGATTCTTAAACATTAGGCTTAACAATAACAGTGTTCGCAATAGGCTACTGGTATTTACAAAAAATATTGAGTATTTATTTCCAGGCTATAAATACGATGGGTAAGACTAGTGTTGGACTTTAGCATTCACAGTTTGTTAGGTGTGGTGGGTGGAATGAGTAGGTTGTATTTGGGAACTCTGGACTGGTATGTACTTTTTTTTTATGTGCAACTTGTATATATAGTTTGTAGGTTGGAGAAGTTGGAGGCTATCCTAATTAGAGGCAACAGATAAAAAGAATGATAAAAATGTGGGAAATGGTAGCAGGATTTCAAGAGGAGCTTAATTTTTTACATGAAAGGGATGCATCAGCTAATAATGACTTTCAGGAAGTTAGAAATAGTACTAATAGGGCTAAAAGTAATGGATTTAGTTGTAATAAGCCTATTCTGTTGAGCAACAGATTTCAGCCCTTGGCTTGTGCAGATGAGGAACTATTGGAGGAAAGGAAAAACAAAAGGGTCAGATAAGGATGTAGATGATAAGGAGGATATAGGTGGATGGGATAATTTGTGGGGTAAATAAGTGAGAAAATAATTAAATTATGTTTCCCAGGGGCACAGGTGAAGGATATAACTGATAGAGCAAAAGATATAATAAAGGGGGCTAGCAGGGATGCAGTTTTTGTGGTGCACGTAGGGGCTAATGATGTAGGGAAATGTAAGTCAGAGGAGTTAAATAATACATACAAGGGGTTGATAAAGGCATTTAAAAAAAAAGGCCATAATTTAATTTTGTCAGGGATACTGCCCAGAATTAAATGTGGGGAAGAAGATATAAGTAGGTCATTAGGACTAAATGCTAGGCTTAGATTAATATGTAAGGATGAGCAGATTGGCTGGTTGGACTTGTGGGATCAGTTTACTGGAAGAAAGGTGCTTTTTGGAATGGATGGTTTATATTTAAGTAGGAAAGGAGCTGGCTTGTTTACTAGGGCTATTAACTCAGCTGTAAAGGAAGTTTTAAACTAGGACTAGACAGTGGTGAGGGCTAGGATAAACTAAATGTAAAAAGAATAAGAAGCAGAGAAAAGTTTAGCATAGGAAATGAGTATAGAAGTAGTTATAAGGATAGACTTAATTGTTACTATTGTAATGCTAGAGTATAAGAAATAAAATAGACGACTTTAGAGCACCGGTGGGAAGATTTTGATATGATGGGAATAACTGGAACATGGTTAAATGTAGATGATTTTGATGACAGAAATTTCTTTGAAATACAGGGATACAGACTATATAATAGGGATAGAGTACTAAAGAGTGGGGAGAGGAATGGCTTTATATGTAAAATGTGAGTTACATCCTGTTGAAGTTGAGGATATCAAAGAAAATAGCAAGGAGACTGAATCCATTTGGGTTTCTGTTAGTGGATTTAAAGGGAAAAGGCTTTAGTAGGAATTTGTTACAGACCATCAGATGATACCGATGAAATTAAAGAAAACTGTATAATGAGATTAAGATTTCAGTTGTTGATGAAATCATAATTATGGGTGATTTTAATTTCAGGCATATAGATTGGGAAATGCTAAAGATAAACCATGAAGGAGAAAGGTTTTCTGAAACTGTTCAAGATGGCTTTCTTCACCAATTAGTCAAGAAACCTACTAGAAACAATGCTATTTTAGATTTATTATTAACTTCAAACATAGAAATGATAGAGAGGGTGGAAACTGGGAAACTTCTGGGTGCAAGTGATCATTGCTCTATTGGGTTCAATGTTCTGCTGCATATAGAGATAAGAAATAATGATATTGTTATGACAGCAGAAGTCACGCAACGCTGGGAGCATGAGAGCTGGAGTTTCTTGAAGGATCATAAATTATTGGGGAAGACCAAGTTTGTTCGAGGCACCCTCTTTTTTAGTATATAAGCCTGGCAAGTAAAGCCAGCACAATTGCAGAGATATAGATAGATTGAAGAGATAGATAATTGAGTCAAGGGAACAATAGGCACCATAAGTAAAGTGTGTGAATTGCTGTGATTTATAATGTTATAATGGTTGTTAAGTTTAAAGTGAATGTGGAATTCTGTGTATTACAAAGTTGTATCAAGAAAGAATAAAGTAGTTTTTATTGAGAAAGGACTCGTATCACTGAAGTTCCTCAGAAATAAATTATTTTGGAAATTAACAAACGAGCAGATACGCAATAATATTATGTTTACAAATTTCAAAAAAAAGCTAATTTGGAAGGGATACAACAAAAATTATCCGTTGTAAATTCGGCAGCTTAATTATTTCGAGATACTGATCAGATGTGAAATTCAAGGTAAACATATTCCTTATAGATAGAAACTGGTAGCTACATGTAAAAAACCAGGTTGGCTCACAAAGAGTATAAGATAAATCATTAAAGAAAAGCATCATAAATTTAAGAAATTTAAATTTAGAAGGTTGCAGAAGATCAAGAAAGTTGGCAAAAGAAGAAATTGGGACATCAAAAAGGATGTATGAAAAAAAAGCCATCCAAGCAGTGTGTTGTTGCTAGTGGTAGGGAAGATAGGATTTTAGTCTAAAGAGGTTATAATTTCATTGTATAGGTCACTGGTTAGGCCACATTTGGAGTATTGTGGTCTTTGCCTCCATACCTAAAGAATGACATTGAATTGCTGGAAAGGGTTCAGAGGAGAGTTATTAGAATGGTGCATGGGATGGAGGGTTTGTCATATGAGAAGAGATTGAAATCTCTCAAATCGTTTTCTCTTGAAAAACAAGGAGTTAGAGGATGACTGAAGATTGTAAAGGGAACTTATAGTATTGACGCATCATCTTTTTTCATATTTAACAGTGAAAATAGTAGGACTTGGGGACACAAATATAAAGTTTGACAGGGTAGCAACTATTGTCAGCTAAGACCGTTTTATTTGTCCAAAAGGGTGGTTGACCTTTGGAATGGGTTGCCTTTAGATGTTGTAGAGGCAGTTAATTTAAGTGAGTTTAAGAGAAAACTTGACAAGTATATGAATGACAAGGGCTGGTTTTAAGTTTTATTTTTATTTTGTTTTATAATAATTGTTTTAGTTTAGTTTAGAGGATGGGAGAGCTGAAATGGACCAACAGGTCCCATTGTCCCAAAACATTATGTTATGTTATAAAAAAAAAACGATTTGTGCTTAGGACTTTTATAAAGACAACTCAATAACAAAACAGACAAACAATGGTTTTCATAATGATTAGGTTATCTCTACAACATACACATAATCCTGTGTACCTACACTGTTTATAATGATTAAGTTACTGCTACAACATGCACATAATGCTGTATAGTTATATTGTTTATAATGATTAGGTTACTGCTCCAATGAAAAAACAACACTGTTAATAATGTTTCTCATAATGTCTAGGTTATCGCTACAATACACATATAATGCTGTACACTTATGTTGTTTATAATGACTCGGTTACTGCAACAGTGAACAGAATGACACTGTATAACAATAAATTCCATAATGATTTGGTTCCCATGGTGGATAGAGAATACTGTTAAAACTATACATATGATACAAGCTTAAGAAATTACTATTTAAACACTTTGATATCAATAAGGTTGAACATTTTCAAAGCATTTTTAAATTTTCATGTTCATACTTTTAAGATAATCAATATTAGCTGTTGATGACATGAGTGATTATTGATAAAAAAAAAGGTCAATACTGAACCAATATAAAATATTCTGATTTGGCAGAACAAATATATATATATATATATATATATACCCATTCTATTAAAGGTTCTTGTCATTCTTAAATTCTGTATTAAGGCTTTTTAAAGATACAAAGATGTGGTTAAAACTGTTTTTACAAAAAAAATAAAGCATACAATAATTAGAGTAATTACACTGATACACCACCATTAGACTAAAATTTGAGGAATTTTGTTGACTTTTTTTTAATTTTAGAGAATAACAGAGATATGCACTATATACTTAACTCTGCATGTGCCAGTGGGGGTTAAAGTGCACATGCATAAACCTTTTACAGAGTTCTATTCAATATGGTATTAAGTATTTGATGCCAAAGATATCAACTATTCATTTCACCTTACATTACTGATTTAGCAATAGCTCCTAGAAGGGGATATATGTATTTCAAAAGTTCTAGAGGTTATGCAAATGCAACTTGCAAACTGTAGGAAGGAGAAAAAAAGTATTTTTTATTCTTCATATGAACATCACCTTGTACCCTGACTTGTTTAAATCAAACTGAGGTCATCATTTCACAGACATATCTTGAGTACACTTGTACTTTCACTAAAAAGCTTGCCACATTTCGTGTAGATGCATATTGTGAATTTGAAATTAAAATCAACAAATATTTTTTCCATTACATCTGTCACTGTCTGAAGGATGTGGTAGTTCACTATGCCAATGTTATTTTCAAATAACATTATATAATGACAAAGGTAATATTTGAAGCATTATTTTAAACAATGCTTTGGCTAAATTCTCTAATTATCAAATACCAAACAAAGCCACATTTGCCATGTTTAGCATGTTTAAAACACAGAAACTAAACGTTTGTTTTTTAAAACAGTTTGTGAAGAAACTGTGTAGATGGTGTGGACACTTTCATTTTTAAACAGCTTGATATTCAGTAAACAAGACATTTTAAGTATTTTGGAAAGTCTAGCAAAAAGGTCATTCAAACATTCAAAGACTTTAAATTCCAACGATTTTTATAATTTTGCACTCTTATGAACCTGGTTAAATGTATAGATTTATAATTTTAACTTTACAATCAAATTAACTATTTCAAAACATTACAAAAGGAAATAATGCAATAATCAATCACTGGTTAACTTTCTAATATACAATTTGTCTATAAAAGTTGTTCTATGAACCACAAATAATTGCAGAAACTAAAGTAATGTACAGCAAACGATGTGTTTCAATAACTGAAGATGCTAGAAATATGTACAGTAGTACTCATAGCAAACACAAAATAATAAAATATAAACAATTAATAACAATTAATACATATATTTTTAATTTCTAACCAATAAGAAATGGTACAGGCAAGGTAAAATCAGCAAGGTTAAAGCTACAACTAATCAAAAACAAGAACATCAAGTATAAAATTGTTTAAAGTAATAGTTAGGAAAATGGCTAAAGCAGTTGTAGCAGCTAGAAAAAAGAATGAGACTGAGATAAGAAAAAGAAAGAAAGTGTCAGTTCAGAAGAGAGCTAAAGCAGTGTTTAAAGTAGGCCAAAGCAGCACTTAGATAAGAACAAAGTGGTGATGATTACTTAATTACAAATCAGTGGATTAGGTAAGGACAGAACAGTGGTTATGGAAGGACAAAGCTATGGTTTAAGTAACAACAAAGGATGGTTTGCTTGTTTCTTGAATTTCATGGAAAGATACTTTAGGGGTATCTGTGCTAGCTGTCTCTAATTTTGAAGTGAGAGTCTAGAGGTAAGTCAGCTATTTAATATCACCCACCTATAACTCATGGGCTCCCCAGATCAAATCAGTGGCATTTGACTGTTATATTTATAATGCAACCACAGCCCCAAAATGCAAAGAGTGATTTGTTTTTCTGGTAATGGAGAGTGAACCACTTGACTGCACTCAGCCCATTTAGGTAAGGAAAACGCAAGTTAAGAAAAGACAAAGCAGCAAATAGGTCAATTAGGTGTAGACAAAGCAGTGGCTGAGGAAAGACAAAATGCAGGTTAGGTAAGTAGCAGATAGAAAAGGAAAAGCAGTGGCTACATAAAGAGAAAGCAATGGTTATGAAGGACAAAGTGATTAGGTAAAGATAAACTAGCAATTAAACAAGGACAAAATCATGTTTAGGTAAGAACAAAAAAGTGGTTAGGTAAGAACAAAGCAGTGGTTAGGTACACTCAAAGCAGCAGTTATTTCAGAATAAAATAAGAGAGGTATTAAATGAAAACATGTAAACAATTAAGTAATGACAGAGTATAAGTGAAGTGAAGAAAATTCAGTTGTTAGAATAAGAGTTAAAGCAGCAGTTTGGAAAAGAATTTAAGCAACATGTAAAGACAAAACTGTAGTCAGGAAGGAGTTTAGTCAGGGTTTTTCAGTACGTACACCTTGAGAGCCTTCTTTCGTGTTGCTCTTTCTACGTCTTAATAAGCTGGCAGGTGAGCTCTTGTTTGAATCATCTCTGGTTACTGCATGCTCAGAATCATTTGGAAGCTCTTCTATTACCTAAACAGGCCAATAATCTTTAAAATTTAGACCTACAATCATTTAACCAATCATTCACTGTCAATATAAATATTTTATTAGTTATGAGGCTATTAGCCACTGCTTATAAAAACTTAAAGCATTTAAGTTTAAAAATTGGGAGAAATTTTGAAACTACACGTGTAACTGAGAGCTTTTTTTATGAAATAAACAACTCATTTATAAATAAGGTGCAAAAGTCTGAATAAATATCATGTGGTGAATATGTTTTGGGTTATTCTGTCAAATTATATGACAAATTCAAATTATACTACAATACTGCTAAATATGCTGCAATCTAAAAAAACACATTCAAACTAAACTTTAAAGATTGCTAAAAGCCAACTCTATTTCTATCTAAAAGATAATACAGCTCTAAAGAATTTACAAAAAAAAGATAAAAAGCAACTGACCATAATATTAATTAAAAGCAGCCTATTTTTCCAAAAAAACATTAGTTAAATAAAAAGACTTCAAAAAGAGCTAGAATAAAATGCTTCTTCTTAGAAAGTTTTGAAACTATGATCTCTATCTAGGAATCTTTACATTCAATAAAACTGATGCAAATATATAAACAAAAAGATACCCACATGTGAAGAGAGCCTATAGCGAGTCAGAAAACACATAATCCAATACAGACCAAGCACTATAAGAGGTTGTATATACACAGTCCAATGTTCTGGTTGGTAGATAACACTACGGTTATCCTGATCCGTTCTGCAGGTAGAATCCACAAGTCCCACAAAACCAAGCAACCTATGAGATACAAAAATATTACTGAAAGCTTTTCTTTACACTTAATGTCTTATAAATAAATACTGAAATTATTAATTTTTTTTGAAAAATATAATGTATTCTATATTTGTTCATTGAGTAGACTCCAAATCTATTCTAACTGAAACCTATCCTATTGAAAATAAAAGTTCTTGAAGCAGGGTGGAAAACACTGTGTAAGTATTTGTTAATATAATGTAAGTGTTAAACCTTAATTTAATATTAATCATTACAATATACAGTTTTTACTTATGTCTCTCAACCATATTTTAAATCAGTGTTTGAATAAAAGTTAACATTTTCCAACACTGAAGCTTAAATAAATTACTTTATTTTTTGTAATAATGTAATATCTTGGTTTATCTCACAATTAAAATTAGCTATCTTTCTATAATAAAACTTCAATATTTCATCCTTTTACAAACCTTGCTTCCTGACTTGAGGGATGGATAAGCTCCTGAGCATAATCAAGTTGATAGAGATACAAAATTATAAAATGAATGGCACAGTATACAGCCAAGATTGTTCTAACCAGAACAAATGCATGACCCAATTTACGGCTGCTTGCCAACCAAGTGCTAAGGTACAGAAACAAAAGAAAATAAATGGATGATATCAGTGATGGATGGAGAATCCCTGCACCTGCTAAATATACCAAGAAAAGAAACTCTCCACCAATAATCATGACCTCTGATGAACACTTTCTCTTTCTCTTGATAGAAATCTCTTGTTTCTCATCACTTTCTTCAGAAACTTTCTCACAGGTAACCAAAACCCCTACAGCTGTCAGAAGAAGAATAAAGTCCAATACCATGAGACGTAATGCATCCAATGGTTGTATGCTGTCCAATCTGTGTAGTCCAACCAGAGCAAGCAGCCTACCATCCTGTGTGCCTGAAAGATTAAAATAAAAATACAAAATAACAAATGATTGAGAAATATATTATCAAGATCGAGTGCTTAAAGTTTACAACTGACTTTTCACCAACTCATGCTGCCACGTGCCACATTCCCTTAGAGAATCTGCAATGTCTACTCTCTCATGCAGAAAAGTACGTCCTGTGAATGTTCTTATTAAATTTAAAAAAAAACAGTGACAAAGTAATTAGTTTAATACTATACTAATATGAATAGGTAGATTAAACCTGCAGTACATTTTCAATATGTATAGCCACATCAACTATTCATGCTGAAAATATTCAAACCCAATTGAATATATGGAGCCAAATACACAGTGTCTGATATCTGACCAAAATAAATATTTGTCTCATCCCTAACAAACATCACAAAATTATAATATTAGCTTAATTCCACCCAGAGTTAATATTTTCCTTCCCTGAAAATGTTTTCAGTTAGATACTAAACTATATGCATCACAAAGAGCTATTATTTTGCAAACACTAGTGTATAAATTCCTACACATGCCATAAGCCTTAAACAAAGTTTCCATCCCTACAAGTGTCAATGTGTGTATTGTGCCAGTTTATTATGTCACCATCATTAAACTACAGTCATCCCCCAATAAGAGGGTTGACACATCCCTCATGCATAGTAATCTCCAAGAGCACATGAATACAGGCTCATTCTTTACGAGGCAAACTAAATTCGTCAAAAATGAGGAAGAAGGGAGGGAGGGAGGAGGTGCAGAGAGGTGAATACATGTATGAATTACGTTTTCAGGTAAGGAAAATGTTAACTTCATAAAGGCTACTCATCTCCCTGCAGAACACAGAGCTAGAATACCACATTGAAGATGGTGGAGAGGATCAATACAGAGACATTACAAAGACAGAGCTCCTTTCCAAAAACAGCATCAGAAATGGAAAGCCCATGAAGTGTGACATCTACAAGGTGGGGTAGCCTAATAGAGCAGTAATCAGTGGAGTCCACATCCATTTCAAGCAGGGAATAATCATAGCCGAACAGAATTGGTAGTGCAAAAGAAATTGTAATGAGAATATTTTGCTAGGTGCTAACATGTCACTAAATTGACTGGAATAGCAGATTGGCGAACCATCCAATAACTCACAGGCAGACAGCTAAGCATGAGTGTGTAGTGTGGCTAACACTCTAAATCAGATTGTTCCATGTTGGGAAGAAACTTACCTGAGATATGAATTACAAAAATCAGGTGCAGGGAGTAGCATCCCAGACCTGTGTCACGAGGCAAACCCAAAGCCCATCCATTTAAACCCAACCACTGGGAAAGGCTTAATTCACAATGTAGTGGAGTATCTTATACTCTATTATCAGATAACACTCCAATCCTACTTCCCAAATAAGGGATGTGTCCACTTGGACTCATTTCAGTGGAATTGCACTTCCTGATGAAAAACTCTCCATATTGACTTCCCCATTGGCTTTGGCTTGAGGAAGCAAAGATTCTCTCATATTCCATGAAAAGAAATGGGAGGGATACAGGTGAGATGCCTGAACCATTGTCATGTGACACAATCATCCGGAATGCGATCCCACACTGAAAGACAGTGCAATGGATTAGTGTGACTAAAGAAATCAGGCAAGAGACATATGAGGGCAGGCACATATCTATAGCTGTCTTTTTTTTTCTCACAACTAAAGAACAACTTGGAAGATGAAATGTAGATAATTCAGAAGCAGAAAACCCCATCTCAACAGTAGGCACTGAGCAGGGGTGGATAGTTTTAACACTTTCCATACAATCCCACTCAATGCAAATTTTAGGTAAATATTCTCTGTGAGGCAACATCTGCCACTCAATAGGTTCCATCGTTTTCATAATATACATATATATATAAGGTGGTTGTGAGACCTCAAAAAGAATGGAGGAAAATAAATAAATAATTTACCATCATAGTCACTGTGAAGATTGAAGAATGACAACTGGAGGGAGACAAAAGTCAGGGTAGATGAAACCCCTCTCTGTGTAAGTAATGGGACACTAATGTGTCAAGGGTCATCTACATCCCCCACCCACAAGAGTTCATACAGGGAATGTACATAGCTAGAAGCAAAAGATGCCATGAGATAACAAACATGATGGTAGAAGTCATGAAAAACATGACAAGGTTCATCACATACAGAAGAAGCTAGCTGGATGGGGTGTATAACTTGACTAAGCAAAGTGGAAAGAAATAGGTTGCTAGAAGAAGAGGAATCCCCCAGCAAAGAAAAAGGTTGTTGTGCATCCTAAAAATGGGCAGTCTGAGTAATATAATATTGAATAGATTTTATAGAACAAAGGAGGCAATCCTGGTTGGAATGACAGTACAGGGAAGGAAGGATGAATGGAAAAAACATCCAATCATCCTCCCAAGCCAACCAAATTTTGGGGCAATTAGTGAAGAAAATGAGACTATTTCTGTGGTATATAATGCAGAAGAAGGTTAAAATAAAAATGAGACAAAGAAGAAAATTAAGAACTTTTTAAGGCTTATAAATGGATGTATAGCCACCTTAGACACACAGCATCCTTAGCCAGAGCTATAGTCCAAAGATGGATACCAAATGAGTGAAGGCAAGGAGTGTAGAGGAGGTGGAAATGCTGTGATGACAGGATGCCCATAGTGGGAGCAAATACACTGAAAACACCAGAAGATGGAGAAACCACTCTGTAGGAAGGGTCCGGATCTAGGTAGGATATTCATTCTGCCACCAAGGACTGAGCTTTCTAGACATGACAGATCAACAACTGAACAAGGTGGTCATGGACCCAAAAGATAAAATTCAAAAACAGAAGTAAGAACTGGATCAGGCATCCAGAACTGTACCCCACTGGAGCACATGCAGTGGAAAGGAGTGTTTGTAGTATTGTTGTTGTCAAGCATAAAGCCAACACAAAATCCCACCTGTGTTATGCTCACCATGGATAAAAAACCTACATATGCAAGTGGAAGGAACACACAAACTGAATTCTGAGCCCTGAAAGGCCCCAAACAAGATGCAAGTCTGGGTAAAGAAGGGGAAAGAGTTGTATGAAATTATGCAAGCCACTACAACTGGAAGAGGTGAAAAGTAGACAGTGTATTTCTAGAGATACCTGCATTGACAGGCCAGAAACCACTAATGAAGACAAGTATGGGGACATCCAAGAAGAATGAGAGACTCAAGAGAAGAGGCTTCACAAAGAAGACTTTTGCAGGTAATGAAAGAGACATGAGAATCCTGATATGAAAAGCTCCATGTCACAAAAATAATGAAGTAGACTGAGCATGCTCTGCATAAAAAGTGATAGAGAACCACAAGTGAATGAAATACAGGGTGGGGGTTGAGAATGAAGTAATCAAAGCCAGTCACCCTAAACAAGATGATTCCCTAAGGAAGCCAAATATCCACAAAGTTGTAGTACAACTAGCCTCAAGAATGTAACCTCTGAGAAAAACACAATGGACCTAATGAAAAAAATTAGCTATAGCCAACTCGAACCAAGAACCAAATGTTTGACCATTGTGGATGAACTGAAAGAAGCAAAGGGTAGGCACAAAAATTGGGATTGGAAAAAGTGTCAGAATCCTCAAATAAGTTACCCACCAGTAAAGAGAATAACCACTAAAGAGTAAGAAAATTGCCCATTGGAAACTGAGGAAAGGACAAAGTTGGATCAGGTGGGACTGACTGATATTTGGTCAACAACCTCCCATATTTGTGAGAACAATAAAAAGACAGGAGCAAAACCCTGGAGTGGGATTTAAGAAGTATCCCATGGCATTCAAAAAATGTAAGGTGGAGAGTAGAAATATAGGTAATTCCTCTGAAAGAGCACCTGTTGAATTCAACAGGCTGTAGCAAAAGGAGACCACCAATGAACAAAATGAGAAAGCAGAGTTCCTACAGGACTGGGGTAGCTCCAAAAATAAATTACCTTAAGATACATGACAGCTCAAAGAGGGGGGAGTATAAATAGTGACAACAAACAGAACAGGGGACAACCGCAAGAGACTGTATACAACAAGAAAGCAAATGGATAAGAAATGCCCCTAAAATCATATCACAAAGAAAAGATGCAAGACGGAGATCCTGGAGAGGATATTGGAGGGGGCAAAAATCAGAAAGTAAGGAAACCAGACAAAAAACGTCCCAGAAACAAAGAAACCAAGGTAAATTGGACAAAATGGAAGAAAACTGAGAGCAAGATGAAAAATAGGTATGTGCAAATTGCACCAGTAATGTTGACAGGGCATGATGGAAAATCTCCAAGTGAAGGTGAAGCATAAGAATGAATGAAAAAAGCTGAAAAAGAAATGTAGATAAGTAGCTAAAGAGAAAGAAAAGGTAAGGAAAAAAGAGAATTTCTCTAAACTTAAAGAAAGTACTTGAGTGAAAGAGGTTCATGTAAAAAGAGAGCCAGAGATTCATTAAAAAAAATTACTGAAGAAAAGAAAGCAAAAGAGACATACCAGTGGAATACAACCAGTGAAAGAAAAAAGTGGAACTACATGATCCACATATGGAAGAGGGAAGGAGAAATAAAAACAGGCAAGGAAACACTTAGAAGATGCAGGCTTAGCTGAAGTAACAAAAACAGGAAGTCAAGAATCCTGGATCCAAGATCAGAATGGAACCAACCACATATATTACTGACCATCAAAGTATCTTCAGTTGTCCATACAGTATTAGATGACTTCTGTGAAGGAGTTTTTAAAACCTTGAGAGATGCCAGAAATGTAAGAACATGAATACATAACTGAGTTAATTCACAATACTGATGTTGTGGTGATTCATTTTAGTAAAATACATACAAGATAGATTTTTATTTTTGGGATGGTGATGGTGCATATGCCAAGTACTGGACAAAAATCATAAGTTGGATTAAACAATGGGAACAGACAATGGATCAAGTGTCCCAAAAGCAGAAAGTCGATTAAAAGAAAATCAAATTGAAGATAACGTGAAGAAAGTTCTTACTGTTATTATTCTGTCATATAAACAAGAAAATTACAGAAATAAAGACTACATAACGAATGGTAACGAAAGATTAAACCTATAAGCACAAAAAATTCTGGTAAATCTTATAGAAAAACATGTATAAAGACAAGCAGTACCAAGGAAACAATAAGCCTTTAATCAGATGTTTGAGGATTACAGTGCATGAGAGATGTATCACCCTCCTATTGATGGAGGGCTATAGTCTAATGATGTTACAATATAGGCTAGTACAATACAAGTTGGCACATGTAGAAGTGGAAGCTTTGTTTAAAGCTTGTGTCATGTGCAGGAATTACCACAGCAGTGTACACGAAGTGATTGCTCTTTGTGTTGCAACAAGTTGAGTAATTCTTTTGAAAATATATTTGCAGATTCAGTTCTACCTTTATCTATATAAATAATAAAACTACTAAACAGTAGCTAATTAACAAGAATAAAAAACTTGATGCAAATTACTCCATAACAATGCAAGGCGGCACACATTACTTCACAAAATGTAGAATTTTATATATTACCCAACAATAATGTAGGATTTCATAAATGTTGTGAAAGAAAAATCTAGAACATTACATATGTTACTCCGTAAGAATGTAAAACTTGATAAACAATATTCCACAAACATACAGGACTTATAAAGGTCCCTCAACAATAATGTACAACTTGATATAAATTAATCTACAATAATGCAAAACTTGATAAACAATATTCCACAAGAACACAGGAATTCTTACAGGTCCTTCCACAAGAATCCAGAATATTGAGCAAGTTACTCTTTACTCTTACTAAAAATGAATGTACAGATTGATATATATTACACTATACAATGCAAAACTTGTTAAATACTATTTCAAATGAAAGCAGTATTTTATGCAAGTTACTCCACATTAATAATACTGCAAAACATGATGCTAATAAAACATGATACAAGCTGCTCCATAACAATATAAAATGCACCTGACACGCACATTACTCATCAATAATGATACACATTACACTGGAAGAATACAAATCAGTAGTAGCTTATTCTGTGAAAACACAAAACATGACACAAGTTGATCCCCAAGAACTGAGAACTTCATATATATTAGTTTAAAACATTATAGATCATGATGTGTGTAATGTCATAAGAATAAATAAGTTTAAGTTATACACAAGAATACAGCACTTGATGTATGTTACTACTTAAAAATATGACACTTGATGTGTGTTACTTCACGAGGGCACATGTTACAAACAAGAATAAAGCACTTACTGTATTTTACTTTACAAGAAAAATGAAACTGTTCAGACTTACTTCAAAAAACAAGGAATGTCTTCAATATAGTTTTAACTCTTTTAAATCCATAAGTTTTTGCACATTCTGTTGGAAATATTTGTGTGATTTCCTAATAATTATCACCATACCTTATAAAATTTCAATTTTTATAATTTTGTCGATAATATCATGGTTTGGATTAGTTTACAGTCAGAGAGACGTAAATGTTATTGGATGCTGTCACCATCTGGGTAAATTAGGATTTATGACCAGATGCTGGCAGGGTCTGCATCGGGTTTAAGGAGTTAAAAGAATGAAAACTGTAGTGCTGTAAGGCATAAGCTGTCCTAAGTATGAGAGGGAAATTTTTTTCAAGAATCTGTTTCAAGTTTAAGATAAGTATATAACTATATGATGAAGAGACTAATTAGTGTTGGGAGTTGGTGGTAAACATCACAAAGGAAAAACACAAAAATCTGCCATAACTAAAATCTCATGATCCACGAATGGTTGAAGAAAAAAAACAACTACAATTGACCATGTTAATTTTTTTTCTCCTATGAAATAAAAATATTTGTATTTGTTTTACCAAGAAACTTTAAAAATAATATCTGTTAATATCTGGACTTGACATATAGAATACAAAAATAAAACATATAATCAAATAAACTCACTAATCCACTATGCATGTCTACAAGAAGAACATATCAGTATGTCAACAGTTAGTAGATGTTATTATTCAGTCATCACTTTTTTTTCTTCTCAAAACTTGTAAGCCTTTTTAACTGAATATTTTACTTTATAAAACTTATTTTAAATGCTTTTATGAATATTTCTTCAAAAATGTAAATTAAAATACACAGATTTTACTTGATGATGTGTAGCAATGGAATATATTATTTGGCACAGATTAAAACTTAAAATTTGATGCCTTTAAATTTTAAAATCACATTTAAGTACCAACCATTATAGGGAGATTCTCATGGATGTTTTCAGCAATAGACTTTTTTATGTCCAAATTTCATGGTAGATTGGGAAATTTTTACTTGGACAACTGAAGATTTGTTTACTACCATGATCTTGTGGTTAGTCACTACCATTGTTTTCATTTTCATACATTTTCCTAAAACTCTTTGAATTTCTTAAACTGGTTTGTTTATATAAATCCATATCAACCACTCTTGCACTGCAATTTATCATATACTAGTTAGTTAAGCATAATTCATAACTGCAAATCCTTTCACCAGATTTCTTCATTAAAATTTAAAAAATTAAACAATATTAAACCGAGGTTGATTTGATAGTCGAATCTGGTTAATTAGAAACAGTTTTTGTCTAATAGTGGTAAGAAAGAATATTTTCCTAAGTAAGCAACATACGCATGTGCATTGGTAAGAAAACCAAGAAATAATCTTTGTTTTTGTTAAAAACTTAAATATTTCCCAAAATATAGCTCTATGTGTGTAATAAGTTGGGTAAAAGATTGAATACATTGGAATGTGACATAAATTAAGCAATTTTTATTTTGTTTACTTATTTGTGGTAGAAAATGGCATTAGTACAAACACTGGTTAACCCTAATTGATCCACATTACTTACACTGCACTGGAAACTTCCCATAATCCCCTAGACCCAGCAAAACAATCTGAAAGACAACATGTGCTAAACAGCTAATGGTGCTGAGACCAATGACAGCTTTGAGATAACGAGCTGCATGACCTGAAACATTTTGTAAGCATTATTAGATGAAGCATCTATGTGTATTAAAACAAAAAATTTCTCAAACACTGAATTATTTTTTTTCAACATAAATTCACATAAAACTATACAATGTCCAATTCCCTGGTTAAATATTTTAATAATGAAAATAAGAAAGGGTTTATATATAAACAGAAACTATACCATGCATTACTTCCTCCACCTAGGCATTACCAACACTTTCTTAGACATTGTTTACCACTGATCTAGATATGCTAGTTTAATGCTTATGTAATGCTAAAAAATGCAGTTTTTACTTTAATCACATAGTAGCTTTTATCCAAAATGTGAACTAATTGCAGTGAACTATTAAAAATATAATTCACTGCACATCATTCACCTTGGAGAAAAAAATAATTATGACTAAGGTGTTATTACAAAATAAGTTTTTCAATATTAAATCACTTATACACCTACATTAAAATTATGTAACTTTTTAATTTTTTCAGTAATTGACTAATAACATACAGACTTATATATATTGTGTTATTGCTTCTATATTGAAGTGGTTTTTTACCTAACAACTGTATATACTGGTTCCTTATTTTTAAATAACACTGATACAGATTTTGACATTTAATATGCATTCCACTTTAAACACATTTCAGCCTCCAGCAGGTGGCAGTAATTTACTAGCTATTAGTTAAGACAAATATTTGTTTTCCTATCATAGAATGCAAAATGTTTTTCCAAAGCTCCCAAAATTGTTTTATAAAAATGTACAATTAGTAAAAGTAATTACAATTTAAGTTCTCTCTTATATGACAGATAATAAAACGTGCAATAATATGTTAACTTTCCATGTTGAAAAAACTTAATAATAATACAAATAGAGAAAACAAAATGTAATTAATTTAACACAAGTTAAATTTCAAAAAGACAGAGTTATATCAGTTATTCACAAAATTTATGTTTGATGAAAAAAAAAACTTCTACAAAATCAGTTTTCATAAGCATTTTGAGCCTGTTTAATACACAGTTAAACCTTCTTGTATATAAACATTAAACAATTCTTCTATTTCTGCTATTTTATTTTACTCAAAAACATATAATGCAGAACCCCTCACAATGTTATCTGGTGTTCATATCATAAACTAACAGCTGTTAAAATTACAATCACAAAATGTTTGCAGAGTATTCAACTGGTTAACTACACAAGAAAACTTGTTTCTTACCTGAGCCATTATTGGTTGGTGTGGGACCTGGCACTAATGGTGCCACCAACAGAAGGAGAAGATAAATAAATGACAACACATTGAAACGAACAATGACAGCTGCAAGAAAAACAATTTTAAGTATCAGTATTACTTAAAGAACACACAACATTTATTTTTTACTTTATTTGATGCAGATGGGTTTTAATTATAATAAATGAAAGATAATGCATGTGATCTATCATAATTTGAATTATAATTTCGATTGGAATAACCTTAACATGCAGTGTTATGAAAGAAAGTGATCTTGGTGTAATGGTTGATCAGTCTATTAAGCCATCCTAGAAGTTGCTGTTGCTAGTGTGAGGGTAAATAGGATTTTAGGTGGTATGTATAGAAATATTGAATACAAGTCTAAACAGGTTAAAATTTCATTGTGTAGTTCCTTGGTTAAGTCATATTTGAAGTACTCTGTTCAGGCATGGGCTCCTTACCTAAGGAAAGACATTGATTTGTTGGAAAGGGTTCTGAGGAGGGTTACTAGAATGGTACCTGGGATGGAGGGGTTGTCATACAAGGAGAAGTTGAAATCTGTCAAATTGTTTTCTCTTGAAAAAGAAGAGGGGGGGGGGTCTGAATGAGGTGTCTAAGATTGTAAAGGGCATTGATAGTATTGATGCATCATCTTTTTTCATACTTAATGGTGAAAACAGTAGGGCTGGGGGACAAAAATATAAATTTTGGCAAGGTAGGAGTTATCTTCATCTAGGACCATTTTATTTTTATAACGAAGTGGTTGGCCTTTGGAGTGTGTTGCCTTCAGATGTTGTAGAAGCAGTAAATTTAAGTAACTTTAAGAGAAAGCTTGATAAGTATATGAATGATAAGGGCTGGCTTTGAGGTTTGTTTGTTTTTATTTAATAGTTTGAGTTTAGTTTAGCAGATGGGACAACCTAGATGGATGAATATAGGTCCCTTGTTGTCCCTAAACATTATGTTATGTTGATCCTTTCTAATCTGCTAAAATGTACCATAAAAATTATTTTGAAAACTCTAAGAGGATATTGAGTTCCATCAACTTTGCCATATGTAAAAATTATCAGCACACATATTGATGGCTTAAAAGAAAGCAAGTTCATAACTTTTGCACATATTATTTCTGTTTGTACCTTTTTAGTAACTCTTTCATTAAATTACTTCCAAAAAATTAATAATTTAGCTCTAGGTTAACATTTCCATGTTATAAAATGTCTACAGTAATCAGTCCATTGCTTTTATGTAGTTACATAGAAAATAACACTACTGATGATTAACAGTTACTGACCAGTGACATAGCTAACGTCAAGTACTATAACACTGTTGACAGTAATTCCAGAATATCTGTTAAGTAAAGCATACTGCTCCCATCACTGGATTTCATCATGATGTTGAGGAACCCACTTGAAAGTTGAAGTTACCATATTGTTATGATGAATTTAACAGGTCAAGACATCATTATGTCTGTATGTGTTTTACAATAAAAACTTTTATATTACCCATATTAGACATTCTTATAGTTTAATTATTGGATTTGATAAAATTCACATAAAGACCTTTACACAATGAATTTGGTATATGTTATTATTTACCCAGTTTATTGAATTTTAAAGAATATATAAAAAGGCTTCTATAGCTTTTTTGTGCTGTAAAAAAATTTAAAATAACCAAGTTTCACATCTGGCACTATCAGTATCATGTCTCTGATATTTCAAAAAATACCAATTACTGTCATATGCTACATGTATCTTTAACATTAGGGGAAATTACCTATAGTTCATACTAACTGAATTTAAATATGGTTTCATTTGTACCCATG